CGTGAATTGAAATTGCATTAGAGGTTACTTAGAGTGAATGGTACTCAATGACTACTAATCTGCACATTATCTCCCAGTCAATGAATGTAACATAAAAACAACTTAAAGAAAAACGATTCACTCCTTTAAAAATGCTCCAAAATAATAGTAAATTAAGAAAATAATAACTACTAAAATATAAAATATTTCGGACTTAGATTTTTTTAAACGGTGCTCTACAGGAATTCCTAACAGCCTGATTTAATTGCTAGACTAGATGAATTCGTAGAATAGAATAGAAGAGAAAACTTCAATGGGAAATATACTTTAAGTGTTGATAACATATCTTCTTGATTAATTAATATTCCAAAATTAATTTTAGATATAAGGTATATAGTCTACAGTTTCAGTCTGATCAAAAGCGACACCGTATTGATATACCGGGTCCTCAATTGGGAAGTTGGTTTGCTATTGCTTTCGTCAGCTGGACAGATCCAAATAATGATCGCATCGAGCAACAAGGTAAAACCTTTCTTATTTTAATCTCTTAATGCTTAGTGATGAGTTATCTGGATTTCCAAGAGTTACTTTTTATTCATATTTATTACATTTGATTAAATAAATGACTTTTCTTTTGTTATTTTTGTAGGACTATCAGCATCATGCGAGACATTGCTATTGGCAGAATTGTCCGTATCAAGTTTCCACTCGATCATTATAAGCAATCAACAGGTTGCTATAGGCAATATAACGAGTATGCCTGTCAACAACAAGCAGCTCAATATAAGCTCCAATAGGAGCTCGAGCAACGGAATGGTTACCGAACATAATTCTGGAAACTCCAAACTACTACAAGAGTCAATTTTGACGACGGAGCATGCCAAGAAACTTCAGAAAGAAAGAAAGGAACCAGATGCTACAAGTGAAAATATTACTCATACTGAGCCAGACACAGTCGAAGATAGAAATACAGACAGTATCAAAAATAACACTAACAAGAAGGATGGAAATTTGGAAACCAACAATGAAATAATTTACAAGTTTTATGTGCCCTCCGACACGGATGTGGCTACGGCGCGGCTAACGTTTGGCGAGATCTGTATGGACTGTCCAGATATCGGTTTCCATATTCAGGCAAACGCATTTCCACTAATCGGTAGTGGGCCGCCAAGCCTGGCCGGCAACGAGTACAACTACTTACACAGTACAATTATCAGACCAAATCAAACTGAAGAAATCTCAATTAAGTTCAATGTTCAACCCAACACATGGCACTACGCCCTACTCAGGTTTGCAAGCGCAGCGGACAAGTTTCTGTTGAATCCCCACATAGGTCAAGGCAAAGCTTTTTCAAAAACTGAATATTTTTCGACTGCGAAAGAGGAAGCAGGACAGGAAGTGCATGAAATTTCCTATGAAATCCAAATAGACTTCGATCCAGTGGAGTCAGAGTCGGCCAGCGAATCCAATGGAACTCAGTTTCACTCTAAGACTGAGGATAAATCTAATTGGCAACCGGTTCACCGTCGCGGAATGGATTTCTATCCCTTGCTGCGACAGAGCTATCATGAGTTTTTTATGTTCGATTTCGACTTGCAACCCGATATAAACGGAACAGTTCCGGCACTACTTAACCTAACGGCACTGTCTCCTGCCGCTTTTGCGTTCGAGCTAGGCGAGGTACACGATATTGGCGGTACGCTCACCTTTGCCGTCTCCATGAAGCCGGAAGTTCGCATCATCAGTGAGCTGAAGCTGGCTTCACCCACAATGACGCCGCCCTCAGAAAGAGGTGGCATTCTGGCTGAGAAATTAGTGGGTAATTTAGATGACGTCGAAGTCCTGATGGGTCAGGAGCAGCAGCCCAGCAATAACCAAAGTATGCAAATCATTGTATGCATGCACCTGGGCGTTCCAGGCGTTCCGACCTGGCCCGACAAATGCCGCTATGGCCAGCGCTTGTTGCCCGCCTCCAGCATCGTAAATAACACCGAAATAATGGGTCTGACACATGTACCCTTTCCGGAAAGTGGCCTCTGGTAAGTGTAAACAGCAACAATACCTTTGATATTTCAGATATAATCTTATCTGAGGCGATTTCTGTTTTTAACCATAAGTATAATAATAAATATACAGGTTCGTCACAATGGGCTTGTTTTGCCATGGAGCCGAGACCGCGCGGGTTACCATCATCGACAGCGTCAAGGAGTTCGTTCGGCAGCACCGGGATTTGCTGCAAGAGATGCGGAGTCCATGTGCCTGCGCTGGCAATGCCACAATCTATGAGAATTGTATTGGATCGAAGGATTGCCTGGCCTCCATGAACGAAACTGAAACCCTCAAAGTAAAAGAGTGTATGATGGACTCAAAGTGCACCGACAACTACTCGGAAATGACACGTCTCTTTGATGTGCACCACAGGTCGGCAACGGAGCAGCGTTTTGCGTTAGAGAACTGCAACACTTCAGTGGTGTTCTCTATATCTTCGAGTCCCTGTGTCGCTGGGCGCTGTGGTCGCTTTGGGAGGTGCTACCATTATATGTCGGGAGGCTTTGTGTTTTCCACTTGCGTTTGCATGAAGGGCTACCGCGGCTGGGACTGCACCGAGGACTCGCAGGTGCCATCTAGCATGTCAATCCTCATGGCCTCGTTACTGCTGACGCTGAGCAACCTGCTCTTCATTCCGAGCATTTACTTGGCCTTTCGACGCCGCTACTACACCGAAAGCGTCATATACTTCTTTGCCATGTTCTTCTCGATCTTCTATCACGCGTGTGACTCAGGAGAAGACGAATACAGCTTCTGCTTGGTGAAGATCAGCGTGCTTCAGTTTTGCGATTTCTATTGCGGCCTGTTAGCCATTTGGGTCACACTTATTGCAATGGCCCACATGCCTCAGCAGTTCGTTTCCCTGCTGAACATGTTCGGGGCGATTCTGCTTGCATTCGGCACAGAGCTCAACAAGCAGAGCCTCTGGGTATTCCTGGCTCCAGCTTTAACGGGCATTTGCCTCATTTCCGCCAGCTGGGGCTTGCGCTGCGCCAAAACACGTAAGTGGTTCCCTGCTCGACGCTACCTCACCATCTTCATGCCGCTCGGCTTGGTACTGGTGATGATTGGCCTGGTCTGCTACGCGTTCCTCCAAACCAAGCAGAACTATCACATTGTCCACTCTATCTGGCATATGGTCATGGCGCTTAGTATAATGTGCCTCTTACCCTCGCAGAAGTCGTTCATACCGAAATCCTAGCACTCCGAATTCTGCTTTGAGTTTTACCTTGCAAAACAGGAGCTCAGCTTAACTTGATAAGATACTGCCGATTCCAAACCTCGCATCCGCTGTGGAATCATGGAATTCAGATGTAGCATTAAAAATAGAAATATTTCTCATAAATTAGACATACAAAACGGGCAAAAGAAAGGAGGAACTTTTCTAATGGTTTTTAACGTAGTCTCTTGAGAGTATGGTGTTTATAAAACTCAACAAATTATTATCGAATCAAGGTATACGATTTAGTACAAAAGTATATATGTATACTTTTGATTAGGGCGACGAGCTGAGTCAATTTAGCCTTGTCCGTCTGTCTGTCCGTCCGTCTGTCCGTATGTATGAACGCGTCGATCTCAGAAGATATTTTTTTTTAAATGTCCGTATATAACGCAAATATCGAGAATATCTCCAAAAATCGATAACACATCCCGATTTGTTATCGAATAAAACATTATCGAAAATCGGTAATAAATTTATATCTGCTACATCTTAAGACTTTGAATGTAGATTTATATGTATTTAATAGAATATCGATTTTTGTTATAATTTACCACAGCCCTTATATCCAACCTCTCAGCCATAAATTTGTAAAAGGCGTTTTTCAAATAATAGAAACTTCTGCTTTGGCAAATGCACGCATTTCAATGATATAATAACGATCTAATTTTCATGAAAATAGTCCAAACACGAGAACCACAAGTTATTAAACAATTCATTTCCTATAGTAAGCCCACACTGCGTATGTACGTGTGTGCATGTGTTGTTTCTTGTGTAAGCAGAAAAACGCGGAGATTTATTAAATGTCACTTTCTCAACGGGCTCAGGGGATCTCGTAGTAGAGCAGTCTTGATTAGAGCTTTACTTGTTTAGGAGTGAAATTTGTCATGGTTTTCTGGTAGAGCTCCGGCTTTTCCAACATCACTTTGGGATTCACCTCGTCAAAAACCTGCAGAAAAGTCGATTCAAATTCTGGATTAAAAAACTTTATCTACTTTTTTTTGCTTGTGCAACTACCTACATATATATATAAGATATTAATATATTCTAAGATTGTATAAATGAATTCAAACAAATGTGAATACTATTTGCATACATGTTTATGTGCATTGTTTCTGTTAAATTAAGCCTGCCAATAAATTTTATAAGACAACGTTTACCTTGGCTATCGAGTTAAAAATACTAGACATTTAAAGGGAATATTGAATATCTGTATAAATACTGCATACCTACTTTGATAAAGGCGTATAGATATAGAAATATAATATTAAGAGAAGCCGTTGTTATTTTAGATATGTATGTATTAGCCTATTGATGAAGCCTTATTAATCTTAATAGTTATCATTCCTGAAAATGTACTGTCTTATAAACAAACATTCTACTAGAATAACTAAATTTCAAATAATCTGTAATTAAACGTCAATGAGTATGTACAAAAACTTAAAGCATAGAAGCGTTTACGTAAACTAATTTATATATATACGAATACTAATTGTGCCATGCAAGAATCATCCAAAGGTATATAGTACATTTCTACAATTTCATCGTGTATAATTTAATGACGATTATTATTATTATTTTCTTTTTTTTCTTGTATCATAAACACGTTGATGCATCAAATTTATATAAAAGTATATTGCATCAACATTTTTTATCAGTCGCATATTGCGCTTTAAGTAAATTTTAAAGTACAGATCTTGGGAAAAATTCCAATCACGAGTTTATGCCAACTATTTTACATATACATATTTCAATATTTATAAATTGCACTTATCGCACGCTACCAGAGCCGTAGCGGATTTCTCGCTCGAATTGCTCCGCCTTTAAAGTGCCGTCTATACTTTCACAGTTCTTATTAAATATACTGTAAGCACTTATTTCATTGGGGTCCTTTGGGCCAGTTCTGGTGTTGAAATATATTCCAAATAACGCGGAGAACATCAAGAAGACCAACCCGAACTTCAGCTCAATTGCTATCACATACAACGTTACCCAAAACAGGAAGTAGACCGCCCACAGAGTATATTTTAAACACTTATTATCCTTATCTTCGCTAGCATTGACGACTCTATGTGACGCTTCAATTTCATCGTCCGAAGACACATATTCCTCTGGTGTATCATTAATGTCGGAAGACTTATCAGAGGCTGGCTAAAATAAGAAGAGAAAAAATGTTAACGTTTCAGCTTTCAGTTGCCACATATGACCTTTCATACCTTAACTTCGATTGTGGTTTGACATTTTCCCTGAGTTGCGTCCGCGCCAGTGCCCAGCATCCAAAAACGTTTAAGTTTTAATTTGAAGCTGTTTAACAATTTTTCCTTTTGCTTTTGCTGACGATAATTTTTCAATTGCTCTTGAAAATCAGCCATAAAGTAATATGTATTATTAAAACTTAAGATGTAAATTAATTAGAGATGAAACATTTTAGAAATTTAGAGATGCCACTTTTGACTAGCACAGTGAATACCAGGGATGCGGTAAAAGTCACAGTTACGATTTTAAAAATACATATATCAGTTTCCGCTGTTTACAAATCGGTATTACGTGTATTACAACCACTAACCATATTACACGTGCTGAGTGAATTAATTAAAATACGCGTTTTTGTTTGTGCACAGCTGTTACTTATCTATTTAAAACGATAGCCACAATAGAAATTCATCGCGTATAGTTATCGATACTGCGAAACTGTTTATTCATGCCGCGAGTTTGGAATGTTTAGGCGGAAAAGTATACAATATACACATATTACTTTTGTCAATCTCACGGGGCCTACAGAATTGTGAAATTTGTATCTAAAGCTCAGTAACGTTAAAGAATTTAAATCTAACTCATCCAACTGCTTCCAACATATGTATATTCCAATAGAAGCAAAATGATTTGTGTACATACTTATGAATAAATGGTCATTGACGAAAACTAATATAATCTCTCCTCTACGTAAACGAGAATATTTATTTTTGACCGATTTCAAACTCTAAAATTTTTAATGCTATTTTGGTAGCTGACAGCGTTTAATATTTAAAGTCTATTTGGAAATCAATAATATAATCTGTATAAATTAAGTATTTAACAACTCGTGTAGACAATTGTTGACAACTTATTATTTTTATACCCTGAACCCATTAGGGAAATCAGGGTATAATGGTTTTGTTAAAAGTATGTAACAGGCAGAAGGAGGCGGATAGTTAGTTATCGATTAAAAACCGAATCGAAAACTAGTTATTTAATTATATCTCATGTCCTTAGATGTAGAGTCTACAAATTTTAAATATATGTAGATTCATATATATGATATAGAATTTCGATTTTTTTATAATTTACCCCCAACCCTATATTCACCCCCTCACTCCTATATTTGTAAAGGGCTTATTTGAAATACAAGAAACTTGGCACATACATACACGCACTTAAATGTTACAAGCAGAAAGACTCGAAGAGTGAAATATCAATTCTTCGAAAGGTTCAGGGGATTTCGTAGTCGAGCAGTCTCAACTAGAGCTTTCTTACTCGTTTTGTTTTATTTTTTAATAATTTTTAGTTTGTGAATAGTTTTTGTTTATGTTACACATAGTTGACTTTACAACTATTTTTAACTGTAGAGAAGAGAAAAATATTGTATATTACTTAATACAAATATGGCGACAAACAATATAACGTACACTGAGAATAACTTTCGATATAGTTGATATTGTTCTCCGATATTCCCTTTTGTGGAATTCATATTGCAAAAACAGGTAAGAGTACCCTAGTCTAGTCTGATCGACGATGAATTAATTTCGTTTTCTTTAGCGTAATTTGAACACTATTATACCTGGATACTTCAGATTTAATATGTATTTATGTACTTTTGACAAATTCGAAGATTTTGTAATTAACATATTACACCCCTTCGCACTCAATTCGTAAGAAATAATTTTTAAGTGGTAGAGATTTGTGCTTTGGAATGTAGACACATTTTAAAGTTAATAATGTTTCATAAGAATAATCGTGCTACAAGAGAAATGATTGAAGGAAATAAATTATCATACTATTACCCAGACTGCAGTCCACGCACAGTCGCTGCTTACTGTGCAGTTAGCAGAGTGCGTGCTAATGCGTGCGTGTGGATGCATGCGTTCATAAAAGTAGTGCAGAATGATTAGAGTATCAGCTTGTAGGGTCCCGGATATCTCCTAGTCGAGGAGTCTCGACTAGGGCACACTTACTGGTTATATAATTTATTTTATATAATATTACGGGAATGAATTTAGCCATGCCTTATAACATCCTATTATTTCTTACACTTTCTGTTAGTCTATTGATATTATATTCTTCAGCTCCCCACTAGTATTAGATATATCTTCTCAAAAGCGCTAAATATGAAAATGGGAGTATATTCCTCAAAATAATAATTTTTAGCAACGTAAAAATGTCCACTAAAAAGCATTTCAACAGTAGCAGTTTCACTGGCCATAAAGTATCATCTTCACTAGGTAAACAAACGGAAGCAGATACCACATACTAGTACCGTGTCCCAATAAACCAACGTTGTTTACAAGTATTATTGTTAATGTGTAACAACTTAAATGGGTGTTACTTTTGTTTTTCACACATTCAACTGCGAGGTGTCATAAAAGTTATAAAGATCTTTATAGCTGCATATACGAGTGACAAGTGCAGCCTCCTAGCAACGCCTTCATATGCCTCACTCGCACCTAAGAATGAAACGAGTCTGCTATCGCATCACATTATGTGTAGACACTAGCCTTCACCTTTTTCACCTTTGCTTATAAAGTATACTCATATTTTCGCATAAACCAAAGGAAAAACAGCTTTTAAAAGAATATTAATTGTATATAATTTTTTAATAGCAATCATCTCATTCAATTGGAAATTCAACTTCAATAAACAAAAGCATTAATCTTGACGGTAAGAGTTTTCCCTGCCTCCCTTTACCGAAGTAGAACATATTTAATAAATTAATAAATTAGCCCAATGTCATCTCCGAACTTATTTATCTGTGTTGTGCACTGATAACTGAATTTTCAATGATTATTCGAGGGGTGGTTGGCAAGTCGCTGACTGATAGGCATTTGCTTCTGTTTAACACTAAGTGAATATTCTGACTCTCCGCTTTTGCTTCGAGTACATATTTTACTAACAGCTGTATTAAAATAGTATTCGCCGGCTTTCGTTCTAATATCAAGGTAATTGATGTGAATGACACCAAGTGAGTCCCAAAATACTGGGATCATAGCCTTGCCAGTGGACAGACCCACCTTGGCCTTCTTTGATTCACGTTCACTCAACGAAACCCGGTTTTTGCTTCTTTTTATTTTATTTCATTTTCCTTGCTATCGGATTTGATGTGATAATTCCATGTTTAAATGGTTACAAAATGGCGCAAAAACTCGTTCGTATTGCGCACAACAGTCTCGTGAAAATGTATAGTCAATAGCGTATAGTCAAGTGTGAACGAGCTAGACACCGATCTCGCGGATAGTGCTATAATATCCAAATATGTATTTAAAAATCGCGAAGTTTATATACATTTCTCAAAATGATTAGTAGCTTCTAAGTTAAGACTACTATTATTCTTGAAGAAACCCTCGGCCATTGGAAACCATATCAAACAATCTTGGCTATCTTTATATGTTAGAGAGCACATTGTGCCTCGTCAGTCACATTTCAAAGACGCTTCGGTAAGGATCGTTAACGTCTCCCAATATTAATACAGCTCTTAAAATGACGAATGTGAGCCAGCAAGATGCAGAATCGAAGCCATCCCAAAAATCCATGAGTGATGGTCATGAATATGAAGAAGTTCTCGAATTGATTGGTAGGGCAAACTTTTAAAAAGATGTACAACTGTGATAAAAATACCCTGCTATTAAATAACTGTTTGCTAAAGGATTTGGATGCGTGCAGTGGGTAATTCTAATTGCATCAGGACTCCTACTAATGATGGTCATAAACGAGACAATGGGTATGTCATACATAACTATTGTCTCCCAGTGCGATTTTCAAACAAATTCAGTGTACAAGGCTGTCATGAGTGCTGCTAGTTTTGTCGGTAAGTATTCGTCCTTAAATATGATAAGCTTACAAATTTGATTCCGAAAACTTAACTCTTATGTAATCTGTATATTAAAACTAATTATTATATATACATAGATAGGCATGTGTGCGAGTATTTGTAACAATTTTTACAATGGTTTAAGAATTTTGATACACTCTAACACTATGGACTAGTTAGCAGTAGTATCTGCATTTAGTCTCTTGGAATTTGGTGCAAATCTAATTAAAATGATTAGTAATTAAGCAGCGAAAAGATATGCAAGTGAATTTAAAATACTAATTTCATCACATTAGCTTTTGTATTGTTAATAATAGCCAAGAGATTGTTACAGTTGGAAGGAATTCAAATGACGTAAAAGTGCCGTAGTCAGACATCTCCCACAAGATAATAAGTCGAAGCGCTCATAGGGGTGATACTGAAAATAATTTAACTTTATCTAAAAAATGAAAATGGGTTCATGGTATAACAAGTCGTAAAGCTTTCGTCGAGACTGCTCGACTACGAAATCCCTTGAGCCCTTCGAAGATCTGATAATTTAATAATTAATCGTTTCTTTTCTGCTCACATATGAAACTTCCACAGAAACATATATGTATTCACGCACAATCATGCATTGGCTGCAGTGTAGGCTTACTATGGGAACTTAATTGTTTAATAACTTTTCTTGGGGATGGACTATCTTGATGAAACTTTCAGATCGTGATTATAACATTGCCAAAGCTCAAATCTCTAGTATTTGAAATACTTCTTTTATAAACTTAAGAGTGAGGGGTGAATATTACAGATTTTCGATAGGGCGTTTAATCGATAACAAAATAACTGGATGAGTTATCGATTTTTTGTGAGATACTCTTTATCACTCTACATATACGGACATTTTAAACAGACGGACAGAGAGATAGATGGACAGGGGGGTCTTTTTGAGGTCTACCACGCCTCCTTATGCCTATTACATTAATTTCAACAAAACTAATACACCCGGATTCCCCATTTGATTATGATCACGTTCTGAAAGTTGCATGAGGATAGTCGTACTATAAGTGAAATTATTTAATATATAAGTAAATTCTCATAATATTGCCACACTGAGTCCAAGTGCAGTCGCTGCTTACTGCGCAGTAAGCAGATCGCGTGCTTATACGTGCGTGTAGATGCATGTGCATGTGTACATAGAAGAAGTGCAGAATGATTAGAATATCAGCTTTGAGGGTTCAGGGTATTTCCTAGTCGAGCAGTCTCGACTAGAGCCTTCTTATTTGTTTAAATATTCAACACTAACTGTAGTGTCTGTATTGTTATTGTGCGTACGGGGCTAAGATGAATTCTTCTATCATGTTTTCAGTATCAGGGAAATCAAGGAATAATAGTTTTGTGAAAAGTATGTAACGGCCAGAAGGAATCATTGCAGAAGTACATATATATATATTCTTGATCAGCATGACGAGCTGTCCGTCCGTCCGTCCGCATGATCTCAGAAGTTATAAGAGCTAGAGAGCTACAATTTTACATGCATACTCGTGTGTACCATACGCAGTAAAAGTTTATCATATAACTCATCCGATAACTTTTTATCGAGAATAATCGAAAAATTGATTTTGTTTTTTAGCCTAACCTAACCACAGTGTTTGAACACTTTTAGACCTAGAGACTTCCGATTTACTGTGTATATACAGTTGATCGATACGAAGATTTTGTAATTTACAGATTTTGAATACCACGCCCCCTTCGCCACTAATTTGTAAAAAACGTATTTCTGAATGTTTCATTAAGATTGCATCTCTACAAGAGAAATTATTCAACTAATAAATTCTTATGCTATTGCCCACACCGCAGTGCAGCCCAAGCGCAGTCGATGCTAACTGCGCAGTTAGCAGAGCGCGTGATGGATGCGTATGTATGCGTGTGTATGCATGTGTTCATAAAAGAAGTGCAGAATGAGTGGAATATCAGCTTAGAGGTTTCAGGGTATCTCCTAGTCGAGTAGTATCGACTAGAGTCTTCTTACTTGTTCATATTTGTATGGAAGTACAGGGGGATAGCCTTTTTTCGCGCTGAACATTCTTTCGCTTTCAAAAACATTTTCTTATTATTCAGGAATTTTCTGCTCTTCATATTTCTGGGGTTATCTAAGTGATGCCATTGGACGTAAGCCAGTTCTAATATATACGACATTGTGCGGAAATCTACTCTCCCTAATATCAATCATTATTCCGAATTTCTGGATTTTTGTGGTCGCAAGATTTTTAGTGGGATTCTTGTAAGTATATAGCTATTTTCAAAAACGATTAGTTCGTTTCGATTTTTAAAGTTGTATAGGTGAGTATATAAGCATATTTATAATCGGTATATACTATGTATGTATGTATGTTAGTTTGCTTAATTATTCGTATACTTTGATTCACAGCATAGCAGGTGCTTCTTCCACGACATATGCATATCTTGGGGAATTTTTCATTCCCCGTCATCGACCGATAGTTATTAACTATGCAAGTTTATTTGTCGGCATTTCTACAATTTATGTGCCAGGTAAAGATTTGACAATATTGGAAATAATCAGTTAAACTGAATTTCTTATTAAAGCGGTTGCTTGGTTTGTTATGTCTATGGATTGGAGTCTGGATGTGACTGAAAGCTTTACGTTCCGTCCCTGGCGTTTGCTCACTGTATTTTATTTTGTTCCTGGACTGATCGGAGCAATGATGCTGATTAAAATGCCAGAAAGTCCAAAGATTTTATTGTCGATGGGTAGAACCGATGAGGCGTACGCCGCCGTAGAGTGGATCGCCTTAAAAAATATTGGCAAACATCTCCATGACCTGAAAGTTGAGGCACTAAAAAGTGATGCATTTTCAGACAGAGAAAATATACTTAGTGTATCGAAATCACCGTGAGTCTTAAAGCCAAAAATATGTTTTAATAGGTATAGTATATTGTTATCATACTCTAGAACGGTGAGCTTCAGAAAAATGTGGGCAGAAACTGCGCCATTGCTAAAAAGGCCGCATTTGAAAAACTTCTGCATAAGCTGCATTGTTATGTGTGGTCTCTTCTTCAGGTGAGATAAAACTCGAATGAACTTCAGTTCTTACAGATGAATTTATTTTCAGCTCGTCGGGCATGGGCTTATGGTATCCAGAAATACTCAATCGCCTGGGATCATCCGTTGCCGAGGACGCAATGACCGTTTGTGATGTGATCGAGGCTTCAGTTGATCAGTGGCAAGCTAACATAACGACAGATGTATGAACTTGGGTTTAAGATTGAGTTGAGCAACTTAAGGACTTGTTTAATTCTTTACAGATTTGCAATGATCAAATCAATACAAAGAGTTATATCGACACGATTACATACGGATCAGCTTTAATTACAGGTTATATTGTAATGGGCTTTGTTATCAATCAAATCGGGCGCAAGGCATCCATCACAGTGGGCTTAGCCATAGCTGCTGGATGCGCTCTGTCGTTAGTATGGATCAAAAATGAAGCAGTCATTATAGTCTGCTTTTGCTTGTACCTGGTACTACCGGGCCTGTGTGTATCAGTACTAAGCGGAGTCGTCGTGGATCTCGTCCCCACAAATCTAAGGGGCAAGGCAGTTTGCATCTGCCTCATGCTGGGGCGCACGGGAAGTGTTTTTGGCAGCAACATCATTGGAATACTTCTCGAATCGTATTGCCACATAACATTTGGATTATTTTCTGGATTTGTTTTGTGTGAGTTCAATCAAGCAATTAAATCACGCAATTAAAACAGTGTTGAATGCATGCATGAGTTTTCATGATAAGTAAAAGCATTTAGTAAAAATATTTATGATTTGATACTAGCCTTACAGAAACCAGTAATGGAAAATGTCCAATAATTCAATGTATGTATAAATAATAAATTCAGTACAGCAAAAGGGATAAAATACTTGGTATTTGCTCGAGCACTGCAACAAAATCAGAGTATATGTATGTACATATGTATTAGAGATCTGCAGGAATACAAAAAAAAAAAAAAACAAGTAAGAAGACTCTAGTCGAGCCTGCCCGACTAGGATACCCTGAACCCTCTAATCTGATATTTTAATCACTCTGCACTTCTTGAATGCACACATACATACAACATTCAGAACATAATCATAATGTTCAAATGTATGTACATTCCACAGCAGCAAGCACAAGTCTCTAGTACTTGAAATACGCATTTTACAAAGGTGAGGGTGAGGAGGTGGATATAAGGATGGGGGTAAATTACAACAAAAATCGAAATTATATAAAATACATATAAGTCTACATT